TCTCTCTCTCTCTCTCTCTCTCTCTCTCTCTCTCTCTCTCTCTCTCTCTCTCTCTCATACCCCTCCCCACCTTCCTCCTCTCCCTATTTCTTAAAAAAACCCGAAAAACGTGAGGAGCAAACCAGTTTTCATTAATAACGACAGAAAACAGAATCACATCTCCCAAGCTTCTATCATCCTCACCAGTGACACCAGGCCGACGGTGCAGCGAGCCAGGATTATGCAAATGTAAAGACAACAGAACAGAACGTCCAAGCAAAGAGTCAAACAGGGACGAGACACTCCCTCCCTAGATCACACAGTTGTCACAAACGACACTCGCCGCCGAGTCAAAAAGGAAACAAAAGCCGAATTTGTTGAGGACACACACGCAACGACGGCGAAACGACGAAAGATATAAAGAGAGCTAGAGGGTTTGGGTGGTGTGTGTGTGTGTGGGGGGGGGGGGCGAAAGTTGGATACGGCTGGAGGGAAAGGCAACGGGGAGGTAGCCCTTTCTGACTGAGCATATTAGTATCAGTATGGTATTGGTGTGCGTGAACATGCAATCAGACTGACACAGATTGAGACAGGTTTTATAAAACCAAAGAAAAAAAAGACAGGCGAATAGACAGACAAACAACTTTAGAGACACACCGATGGACTGTATTTTATGATATAAAAGAACAAACCTCTGCCACAGACAGACCCCCCCCCCCCCACATCCTCCCACACACAAAGACACACTAAAACACTTTCCAGTACTCACTTCATGGATATAATAAACCGATTCCGGGCTTTGAGAGACGGGAAGGTGAGGTAAGATCCCCTCTGGAAGTTCTTGGTCCGGAGCCGGCACTGGCTATCGTGGTGGTCATCCTCCGGACAGCCGTCACACACAAAGCCCCCGCCGGACAACGGCACACAGTGGGACGGACCGTGGCAGTGGTCAGTCGGGCAGGTCAGGCTCGTGAACGTTGACGTCATGTTCAGCTCGCAGTGAGGACCTGGGGTTAGAGAATTTTGAGTTTTATAGTGAGAGTTTTACGGCACTTGCAACACAATGAAGTCATACAGCTGCCGAAGATTAGAGATGTTACAAGAGAGTAACAAACACAAAAAGAAGGAGACATAAGAACGATAGATGGGTTGTTGTTTTTTGGTTTTAGTAAGAGTTTTACAGCACTTGTAACACAAGAAAGGCTCATATAGGTGCCGAAGATTTGAGGTGTTACAAGAGAGTAACAAACACAAAAAAGGAGGAGAGATAAGAAAATGGTAGATATTTGGAGGGGGGAAAAAAAACAAGCAAACTACACCAGAGCACTCGCTAAACACCGGCAGTGTAAAGATAAAATTAGTTAGGATTTTGAGTTACGAGTTTTGAATTTGAGTAAAAAGAAGCACATCGACACAATGACAGCCATTTAGTGCGGGGACAAGGTGTAAGGTGAGATCGACAGATACAGCAGAGGGGAAAGAAAAGAGGTAAGACCCACCAGTGACGTCCTCCTATTACCCGCTATGACGACCTGATGGGTGTGGGATCTTAAGATAAGATAAGATAAGATAAGATAAGATAAGATAAGATAAAGTAAGATAAAGTAAGATAAAGTAAGATCAAGTAAGATAAGATCAGATGATACTAATTTCCCACTGGACCAATAAAATATCGTCTTATCATATCTTATAGGAGGATCATTTGTTTTTTAGAGGTAATTAAAAGCTTGTTTTTTGTTTTTGTTTCTGTGGGTTTTTTTCTCCCTCACCTGTAAAGTCGGGCGCACACTGACAGGTGTAGCCGCTCTCATGCCTCAGACACAGCCCGTTGTTCTGGCAGGGGAAGCTGTAGCACAAGTCGATCTCTATGTCACACATCTTGGACTGGTTCTGGCCTGGGGAACACACAAAACAGCAACATCAGTGTAAATAATGTCTCAATCGCTTCGTTTTAGTTTTAGTAAGAGTTTTACGGCACTTGCAACACAATAAGGTCATATAAGTGCCGAAGAATAGATGTGTTACAAGAGAGTAACTTACACAAAAAAGGAGGAGAGACAAAGACGATAGATGTTTGATAGGAGGAAAGAAGGAGCAAACCACACCAGAGCACCCGTCAACCACCCACACACAAAACAACAACAATGTAATGTTTTAGTCGTTTCCTTTTTTCGTGGCATAGTTCCCCTCATTTTCCTTTCCCCCCCC